TCAGCTACCGTTATAGAACAGGCCAGCCACTCTGCCCATTGCCACCCCAGCTCCATCCCCACTGTCTTATGATGCCCCGTGCCAAGCACCTCCTGGTGCCAATGCTGTATTAGGTATGGGATCTCCTGTCTTTCACTTAGGCTTCATCAGGGAAGAGGACCTTTTTCACTCCCTCCCTCAACTGTCATGTCCTCTGAGGCTTCTCCATCCCCTGTGGAAGGAATCATCACCTCCCCAGGAAGGGAGTAAAGGGTAGGGGTAAGAGGGGAAGCCTCTGCAGTCACAGACTTGGGTCTAAGGCTGTGGAATGTTTAGCCTGATTCTTAGACTCTGAGCCTCAACTCCCCAGGTTGTTCCTGCTTTCCTAGTGGGTAGTGGTCATTCCACTGCCCCGTGGACTGGCATGAAGATCAGCGAGCTGAGCTTGTCTGCAGTACTGGGCAGACGCTGTGCTGGTCACCCAGGGCCAGTGTACATAGGTGGACCTTCACTGAGCCCTGACCATGTCCCTTGGAACTCAGGCCTAGGCCCCTGGTGTAGACAGCCCTGGAGCTTCACCACTCTGGGCCAAGGATGAGGCCCTGCAACAGGAAAATACCAGCCTCTTCCCCAAGAGACCCAGGCCCCTACATGCAGCAGGAGAGGAGGCACATGACACCTGGTGAAAACTAGGACTGTGGCGAGTGGGATGAAGTGTGCAGGGATGAGGCTGGACCTACAATACCATGGTGACAGCTTCCGGTGGCTCCTTGAACTCCTGCAAAAGGCCTTACTTGTAACAGACCCAGTGGGCCAGAAACATGCTCTGATAGGCAAGAGACCAAAGTAGAAAATGAGAAACCAAGAGCTTTATTGCATTGAGGGGTCCCTCCAGGGACAGAACCCCAGGGGAGAGTGAGCCAAGAAAGGAGGAGAGCCTGAGGGACTGCTTGCCCCCTGTAGGCTGGTGCTCAGGCCCAGGGAGCACCTGTATCTTACCACCCCTCTTTAGCCAGCCTATCCCTTCTGTTGCAGCCTGCAGAGCTTATGTCCAGTTTCTGACCTGGAGCACCCCTCAATCCCCAGGATGAACCCACCACCACAGCTGCTGTCCACTCCAACATCAGTTTCCATAATGGGTAGTCTACCCAGAATTATTTAATCAATGGGTTCACTTAATTGTCTTGTTTTTTTTTTTTTTTTTAAGTGCTGGGGATTGAATCCAGGAGTGCTTGACCACTGAGCTTTTTTTAAGTTTTTGAGACAGTTTCTCCCTAAATTTCTGAGGCTAGCTACAATTTGTAACCCCCACACCTCAGCCTGCCTCTTCACTGGGATTACAGGCTTCTGCTGGTTCACTTGGTTTGTTATCTGTCTTTCCAACCAGAGGAAGGCAGGGGGACTATCCACTGTACACCTAACCAGGCTCTGTCGGTAGCCCAGTGAACCTGGATTCAATGAGCCACCTGTCCTGGGGCCAATCCTAGGCACTGGTGGTTTTGGATCATTAGGCGGAGGGGTGTTTGAGTAAGCCTCAACACAAAGGATACTCAGCAAGTAAGAGGCACCCCCTCTGGATTCACTCCTGCCCACTCCATTCCCCCGCTAAAGCCAGGAGGAGGCAGAACTCACCGGATTCCCGGGTGGCGTCACCGCATCCCGGCCCAATCGGCTCTGACATGGCGGGCCGGGACAGGAGCCACCCTCCAAGGAGTGCCGGTACTACCCACCGGTGTGACCACAGCGTCGGCGACATGAGCGCGCCTGAGCCGGATCCCACCCCTCTGGGCCTTGCACATCCGGAGATGCCCGGGGCCCTGCGCGCGCTACTCTTGGCCACTGGCGGCGCGGGGGTCTCGTGGCCGCGTTGCGTCCTGCCCTTTGGCGCGGTAGCGGTGCTGGCCGGTGCAGCCGCTACGACCATCACCTTCTCGCTGCGCGGACCCCGCCTGGACCTGGCCCAGGGCGCGTCGCTGGCTGCTCTCGGCGTGGGCCTCGGGCTCCTGATCGCCACCTTCCTGTGCTGGCATGCTCGGCGGCGGCAGCGGGCTGGGCATCGGGAGCGGGAGGGAGCCGTGGATGCCTTGAGCCCACCCACCCCCCACCAAGGTCAAAACGAACCGGTTGTCTCCTCCCTCCAGGTCGCGGAAACCCCTTCCCCAGACCCCGTCTTTCTGGACCCTTAGAAAGCCTGAGCGGAGGGGGCTACTGGTCATTTCCCTCCCCGCTCCCTGTCCAGTCTCCCTCCATCCAGTCAGTGCTGCTTCTCAGCGTTTCGCTTGGCGCGCAGAGCTGGTCGCAACCGCAGAGCAGGCCTTGTTGAGAGCGGGGCGGGCTGGAGCCTGGGAGCATAGGGCCAGAACCTGACACACAGGGTGCGGGGCTGCAGAACATATACTCGGCTTGGCGTGACCACTCTCCATTGGGGGGAGGCACAGCGTGCTAAGTCCTCTCCAGGGAGCCGTCTGCTTTCCGCGCCCGGTTGGATCCCCGCCAGGCATAGTAGTCGCTCAATAAACGCACAAGACTAGAACAAGTGGTTTGCAAGCGTCTGAAAGGGACAGTAGTTCCTAGGCTGTGATTAGTTGTCAGTTCCCTGGGACTGTCAACCTCCTCTATCCTTTCTTCTTAACCTGTGGCTTGAAGCCAGGGGCTGTAATTCTGAGTTGCTGAAGCTGATGTAACAGCCAGAGGAGTTGCAGGTGGGGGGAAGGGAGACAAGGCAGAGAGCCTCTTTATTGCTAAAGATGGCCTGAGGACCATGGAAGTGGAGGGTATGAAAGGCCCCACAGTCAGGGACTGGGACAGGTGGCTGCATCCATGAAGAGCAATGAGCCAGGCCTACCTTGGGGGTTGAGGGGAAAGCTTTCCCCAACTCTATCACATCATCTGCCAGGGCAGCCCTAGAAGGCAGAGGAGAATATGTTCGGCGGGCAATTCCAGGGAAGCGTTCTGTAGCCAGCAGCCTCCTCCCTGGAGACCTGGTAATGCAATAATCTTCTGGGCTCCAAGACTACCCTGCTACTGTCTGATCAGGGCTGTCCCCCAGGAACTTACTTCCACCTACACCAGAAGCCACCAGATGTCTACAGACCCCAGTCCCAGCTTACAGGGAGGCTGAGCTGGAGACAAAGCTGGCTCTACTCTTAAGGGTGAAAGGCTGCTGCCTCCTAAGTTCTGATAGCCTGGGGGCTCTGTAGGTCCAAAGACAGCAGGATTTCTTAGGAGACTTGTTCCAGGCCCAGTGGGATCCCTGTGCTAGGCCTGGGTCTTCCTTTCCCCTGTCTTGGAATGATGGATATCAGCCCCCATACTCCCACCAGGGTGCCTTCCATCCCAAAGGGGTTGGGGCTCCGGACTAGAAGAGTCTTAAAAGAGTGTGTCTGTACAGGTGCTGGTTCTGAACTTGAGTGTAAGCCCATGACTACTTGTTGTAAAGGACACATTCTTATTGGGAAGCTAAAGGGCAGGGCCTAAGGGAGAAGCCAGCAGTACCTCCAGCCCCTCTATCCCTCCAAGCCCAGTCCATCCACCATCCATCCACCCCTCATTCCCTGCCTACTATCTCTGCATCAGGCTTAGGAAAGAGCCTGAGCCAGGGGAATCATTTACTCCAGGAGTCAAGCCAGGTGCCCATCACTCTGTCTTCCTGCTTCTCCAAGTCAGGCCTCCTGCTCCCTCTGCTCCTTTGGCTTGCCCTGGGAGACTTCAGTGTCCTTTAACTCCTTCTCTCCCAAACAGCACAGGGTTTCTGATTCTCTTCTTATTCTCTGTCTAGTAGGAGTGGCAACTCTGCCTATACAAACGTGCCCAGGTGGCCTCTTCCACCAGCTGCAGGTCTGGTCTTGGGTCAACTTCCCTTTTGAAACTGGGCATTCAGATCTTGGGGTTGCTCCTATGTCTACTGCATGGAGGAAAACCTCCAACCTTCCCTGGAATGTTTGGCCCCTTCTGTCAAGGACTTAAAGGTGGTAGGGAAGGGGGTCTCTCTGTCCAGAGTGAACCCTGGTCCCTCTTGACTGGGGCCACTCAGCTGGGCTTGTTACCCTGCCAAAACCTACTATGATGTAGGCCAGCAGGCTCACATTCATTTTTGACCATTTTCCCCCATTGGTCAAATCCCACTCTACATGGTCCTCAACAACTGACCAAGTTCTGTAATACCCCTGTACCTGAAGCTCCCATTTTCTTCCTGCCAGCTCCAGCTTATGGGTCCATCCTGATGAGGCCACTAGATATTCATAGGCCTAGGAACGTTTGGGCATGAGTTTGGTCCCATCCCTTAGCTCAGCTCAGGTGGTCCCTGATTGAGCTCCTGGCTTAGGCGTGATATCTGTGTGGTTGTTAAATCCTTCCAGCAGCTCCACAAAGCAAGAGAAATAACAGGCATTTGGCTGATGAGGAAACTGGGAGTCCTTATTCACACAACCAGAAATTGGAGCAGCTTGGATTGAAATCAGACCTGAACTCAACCATGGGTTCCTTCTACTATAACAGACTGCTGTTTTGGGGACACCCAACAACCAGCTAGCCACACTTGATTTCCCTACCATGGGGAATACCCAGGGCCATGCCTGCACGACGGACTTAAGGGAGGAGATGGCCCAGACCCCAGCCCAGCACGTGGCACAATTCAAGGAGCAGCCAAATCCTGGCTCCAGGCCTGGGACCCTACTGGGTGGTCCTCCCTGAGCTGCAGGGCTGAGCTGCCCCCTCCAGACCCCTCCCACTGGCGCATTCCTGGCTCCCCAGCCCCTCCCTCCGACCCCAACCCCCTCCCCTCTTGGCCCAGCCTACGTCTGAATCTGCTTCTGATTCTGGCTGTGCCGAGCCCCCCTCCTCTCCCCTCCTTTCCCAGCCCGAGCAGCCCCGCCCCCAGCTGGACCCAAGCTCGCTCCTGCTGCGCCCCCCACCCCCTTCTGGCACAACTCGCCCGCCCTCGCTGCAGTCGGGAGGAGGCGGCCAGGGCGCCCCAGGCCCCGCCCGCCCACGGCCCTTCCCCGGAGGCCGGGAGACCTGCTCTGCCCGACCCTCGGTGGGTGAGTGCGAGCATCGAGCGGCGGACGGCGGGTGGGGCCTCCGCTGGCAGAGGCACCGGCAGCGGCGGCGACGCCTGTCATCGCTCCAGGCCCAGCGGGAGGACACGCCAACATCCCCGCTGCTGCGCTCGGCCCAGGGCGTGCTGCCGGCTGCTACCACCTCTGGGCCGGGGCTGGGGCCGCCCAGGGGCTCTGCTTGCTCCATACTGTGAGCCCGGAGGGCAGTCTAGTAGCGGGCTCTCTCTCCCCGAGGGCCGAGTCGTGGGTCTCCGACTGGCTGGTTGACCCACTGCGGCTCCGGCCATGCCCAACTGGCCTTGGGGGCTGTTGCTGACCGCGGGCACGCTCTGGGCCGCGCTGAACCCCGGGCCACCGGCGTTCGTCGACCCCTGCCATGATGAGGGGGGCGCGCCCCGTGGCTGCGTGCCTGGCCTGGTGAATGCAGCCCTGGGCCGTGAGGTGCTTGCTTCCAGCACATGTGGGCGGCCTGCCACTCGGGCCTGTGACGCCTCGGACCCGCGGCGGGCACATCCCTCTGCCCTTCTGACCTCTGCAGGGGGCACAGCAAGCCCACTGTGCTGGCGCTCTGACTTACTGCATCGGGTACCCCTCAACGTGACCCTCACAGTCCCCTTGGGCAAGGCTTTTGAACTGGTCTTCGTGAGCCTGCGCTTCTGCTCAGCCCCGCCTGCCTCAGTGGCTCTGCTAAAATCCCAGGACCATGGCCGAAGCTGGGCTCCGCTTGGCTACTTCTCCTCCCGCTGTGGCCTGGACTATGGCAGACCACCTGCCCCTGCTGATGGTCCTGCTGGCCCAGGGCCTGAGGCCCTCTGCTTCCCAGCACCTCAGGCCCAACCTGATGGTGGTGGCCTTCTGGCCTTCAGTGTGCAGGACGGCAGCCCACCAGGACTGGATCTGGACAGCAGCCCAGTGCTCCAAGACTGGGTGACCGCCACAGATATCCGCATATTACTCACAAGGCCTGCAAATGTGGGAGACACTAGGGACTCAGAGGCCATGGTCCCTTACTCCTACTCAGCCACCGAGCTCCAAGTGGGTGGACGTTGCAAGTGCAATGGGCATGCCTCACGGTGCCTGCTGGACACCCAAGGCCACCTGATCTGCGACTGCCGGCATGGCACTGAGGGCCCTGACTGTGGCCGCTGCAAGCCCTTCTACTGCGACAGGCCATGGCAAAGGGCTACGGCCCGGGAAGCACATGCCTGCCTTGGTGAGGCCTTGGAGGGTGGCCTGGGGACCTTAGATCAGGTGGGCCTGCCCCTGACCCACCTCTCCTTGCAGCTTGCTCCTGTAATGGCCATGCCCGCCGCTGCCGATTCAACATGGAGTTGTACCGACTATCCGGGCGCCGCAGTGGGGGCGTCTGCCTCAACTGCAGGCACAATACTGCGGGTCGCCACTGCCATTACTGCCGAGAGGGCTTCTACCGTGACCCAGGCCGTGCCCTGAGTGACCGTCGTGCTTGCAGAGGTGAGCCTGCCACCTGCATGTTTTCAAACTCTGGTTTCCCAGAACCCCAGATGAGCTTCTGACAAGGACCTTTCCATATCTGCCCTCAGCTTGTGATTGTCACCCTGTTGGTGCGGCTGGCAAAACCTGTAACCAGACCACAGGCCAATGTCCCTGCAAGGATGGTGTCACAGGCCTCACCTGCAACCGCTGCGCCCCAGGCTTCCAGCAGAGCCGCTCTCCTGTGGCACCCTGCGTTAGTGAGTGACTCTGCTCTGCCCCAGACACCTCTGCTCCTGGCTGTTGCCTATTTGTCCAGTTCACCTCATCAAAAGTCTTTTTCCCACCCTCTCTGCAGAGACTCCTATCCCAGGACCCACTGAGGAGAGCAGCCCTGTGGAGTCACAGGGTGAGTGGACACAGAACAGGGTCCAGATTGGTCTGACCTTAGGGCAGGGGGCTATGGGGCTCGAGCAAGAGCGGAAAGGAGGGGGAAAATCGGCCAGCTTCCGCCTTCCCCCTAGACTGTGAGTCACACTGCAGCCCTGCCCGCGGCAGCTACCGCATCAGCTTGAAGAAGTTCTGCCGGAAGGACTACGGTAGGATGCCTGAGCCCTCAGTCCCCACCTCGCCTTCAACCCCACCTCTCCCCTTCGTCCCTCGAGGGCCCCCCAGTACCGCTGGCCCCACCTTTCCAGCCCTTAGTGTCCTCAAAGTGATATGCTTCCCTCTTGCGGGTGACCTCTTTGTGTCCTCACCACTTCGGGTGGGCGCCCTGTGCTTCGCGCGCCCGCCCGCTGCCGGCGCCGCCCAGCCTAAGCCCGCCTTCTCTCCCTCCTCGCAGCCGTGCAGGTGGCGGTGGGCGCGCGCGGCGAGGCGCGAGGCGCATGGACACGCTTTCCGGTGGCTGTACTCGCCGTGTTCCGGAGCGGCGAGGAGCGCGCTCGGCGCGGGAGCAGTGCGTTGTGGGTGCCCGCCCGCGACGCGGCCTGCGGCTGCCCGCGCCTACTACCCGGCCGCCGCTACCTGCTGCTGGGGAGCGGGTCGGGGGCCGCGGCGGGGAGCCGGGGACCCGGACTCAGCGCCGCCCGCGGAAGTCTCGTGCTGCCCTGGAGGGACGCGTGGACGCGGCGCCTGCGGAGGCTACAGCGGCGCGAGCGGCGGGGACGCTGCGGGGCAGCCTGAGCCCGCGGGCGGGGCGGGGCGGGGACTGGGCGCTACTGGGACATCACGGCGCACGTTTTCAGTGCCTTAGCCTTCGGACGAGTCTTTGCTGGCGTCGCCTACTGGGTCTGGTCCCCGTTCTTCGCCTCCCCCGAAGCATCACGCTTGTGCGGCAGAGGGATGCGGAAGCCGCAATGACACCCCGCCCTCCCCCAGAGACTTGGATGCTCCTTGGTGCGCCCACCCTCACTCTGCCCTCTCCGAGGGGCAGAGCGATGTCCGATATCCCCATAAGGCTGCAAACCCCCTCACGTAGCTTAAGAACCCTCAGGGTCTGACATCATCCCGTGGGCCACTGCGATTCAACCCCTTGATCCCAAGATCCGCCAGAGAGCGCTGCGACCTCCCCAAAGGCACGGTGGCCACCCTAGACGTCCTGGACCGCTATGGGGTTGGTGACCCAATTCCGCTGCCTGCACAGCAAGTCCCCCGCCTTCTGCTAGGACCCGCAGAGGACGCTGAGCTCCGCCCGCGCCGGAAGGCTGCCTCTGTTCACCTCCGCGGGTCTGTGTCCTCGAGTGGGTCCTGGCGGGCCGTGGGTCCGTATCTCTTTCCCCAGCCGCGTCTCTCCTTTGTCCTGCCTCTTTCTTGGATTGCTGTGACCCCAAGTCTGTCCCGCTGTCCTCTCTGCCGCGTCTCTGAGCCTTGACCTCAGGACTCCTCGGCTCGGGTCCCGCCCCCCCAACTCCCCTGCGTCCTTAACTCTCTCAGGGATCTGCTGTCGCAGAGCGCAGCCCCAACCACACGTGACCGGGCCGGGCTGCAGCAGCACAGGCGGGCAGCGGCACGAGCTCAGGGTGCCTGCCCCACGGCTGTCGACGCGGCACGGCAGCCCCAGCCACCTAGGGCTCGCCGGGGCCTCCGCGCTGTGGGAACCGCTGCCTGACCCGCGCATGCGGCGGCTGTCGGGCGCCTGCGCGCATGCCCAGAGCCGGCGGGCCGGAACGCGGGGCGCTGGGGTGGGCGGCAGGCGGCGTGTGCTCGGCGGGGGCGGGGCCGCGTGCGCGCGTGCGCAGAAGGGCTGTCGCCGTCGCGCAGAGAGCTGAGGAAAGCGGAGCGGAGGTGGGTGCGCAGCGGTGGCGGGGGCGTGGCGGTGCGCGGCCCAGTGGGTTACGCTGTCACCGCTCCGGGGGTGGTGACCCGGGCCTTGGCGCCGCGCGGCTCGGGGTTCCTGAGGAGCTGCAGTTGCTACGCGGTCCCAGAAGCCGGACCCCTCGGGGCAGGCCGGGTCCCCCACCCTCCGGCCCGGCCCGGGGCGAGGTGTCGTCGGAAAGAGCTGAGTGTCACGCTGTCTCGCGGCACTTTCCGTCTCTGCCGGGTAGGAAATCCTCTTCTGGGTTCGTGGAATTGCAGCAGGTTCCCCGATACCTACCGCCCTCCGAGAGCTGGAGCTCCCCCGCGCCCTTCACTTGCTCAGAACGACACACCTGTCCACTTGGCGCCTGGGTATTTTCCCAACCTCGGAGTCTTGGGTACCCCTGGCCGTGGCTGCTGTGCCGGGGGAATGGGGGCAGCAGTCCTCCATACGTGCCCTGGGAAGTGGAAGCTAGGAGCTTGACCCGCTGCGTTCTGAGGCAGCACAGCTGGAGGGCAGAGCTGGCACCGCGGGGAATGGGCTACGCCTTTTAGGCTCTCCTGTGAACAGGGTGCAGGTTTTCTTTGGTGAGCAGAGCAGTGTGGAAACAATTGCGCTGTGGGCCTCCCTGTGCTGACTTTAAAGGCCAAAGATTGTCTAAACCATCTGGGTCTTGTGTAGGTATAGATTGGCTATTAGTGACCCCGCGATGCTGTCTTTACTGGTCAGTTATCCCTGGGCAGGGAAGTCGGCCTACTTTTCCAAGATGAATGGAAACCCTAGAAGGTGATCTTCCTCTTTTCACTGTGTGCTTGCTTCAGAGTCAGCAGGTGTCTCCCAAGCAGCTTGCAGAACCACCCCATAATTTGGCATGCATTGCCATTTTGTGCATTTCGTCCATTTTTACTTTACTTCTGAAGCATTTAAGAGGCACCGTAAATGTTTACTTAATTACTTTGAAGTGAACAGATTTTTTTTTCTTTTTTGTGGTACTAGGGGTTGAATCCAGGTGCACTTTATGACAGAGCTTCATCCCCAGCTCTTATTTTTATTTTAGAGTGTTGCTAAATTGTCTTCCTGCCTCAACCTCATAGTCAATGCAATCACTGGCCTGTTCCACCGTGCCTGGCTGAAATGAGCAGATTCTTTCATTTTAAGGTTGAAACCAAACCCAGATGAGGAAACAAGCAACAAATTTCAAAGAATTTACAGTTATTGTTTTTTTTTGTTTTTGTTTTTTTTTTAGAGAGAAAGAGAGAATTTTAATATTTATTTTTTAGTTTTCGGCGGACACAACATCTTTGTTTGTATGTGGTGCTGAGGATCAGTCCCGGGCCGCATGCATGCCAGGCGAGCGCACTACCACTTGAGCCACATCCCCAGCCCTACAGTTATTGTTGATAGACAGTGGTCTGACCCCCCACATGTGCTTCCCTTTATTCTGAGGTTGATCTTCATCTAATCTCCTCAGCACTCAGATTAAGCCTCTGTGGGAAGTGCTTAATGGGTAGTGAATGCTCTGTTTAGAATCCTGTCTCTCCCTGTGAACAGGGCTGGAGCCACATCACCTTCATCTTTGTTCCTCCATTGCCTGACATGGGTGGGCTGGCTTGAGGTTCTAAGTGGTTGTTGAAAAGAATCAGAGCATTGTCAGAGTGGTAGATGTAAGCTAGTGCAGTAGCTTTCAGCTGTATTAAGGGTGACCTTCTGGGATGTTGAAGTGATCTAAGCAGGGTTTTCATAACAATGATATTCACCCCCCTGGGTCTGCTAATTCGCCTGCTGGTGGGCCTGGCTAACTCTTTCTAACCACACCTGCCAGAACTGTCTAGCAGTTTTGAGTGACCTTGGGCACACAGTGTTGCTCCTAAACCTCCTTCTGCCAATTGCAGAAGACATCTTTAAGTGTTTGCCTTTGGGTGGTTTTTGGTTTAACTTACATAAGACAATGATGTAGTTGGTAAAAAGAAAAAAAAAAAAGCACTTAACATTTGCTCTGTTCAATGTTTTACCTGTTTGAGCATACCTTTTCTGTTATGGCAACTCTGTAAATGGAAGAAAAAAGCCCTTTCCCACTTGAAGCAGCAATTTCAGTGGCTGTTTGCAGCGTCACCTTCCAAATGGAGATAATATCAAAGAAACAAAACCTCAGGCTTTCTACTGAGAACCACCTTGAATTTGTTATGTAGTTTCTCTATCCTTTAACATGGGTTTATTTAATTTATACTTCATGTGATGAGGCACTGTGCTGTGTCTGCTGTAACATTGTTGAGTGAGGTTTGGTCTCTGCCCTTGAGCTCACTGTGCAGTAAGGAGACAGGCAAATAAATGCATAGTGGTAGACACTCCCACAGGGGTGGGTAGATCTTTCTGTGGGCCCAAGGGACCAACATCCAGCTGGACTGTGTTGGGGGATAGGAGCTCAGAGAAGGCCATGAGCTTCATTTTGAAGGATGGTTAGAACATGTAATGAAAGAACCTACCAGGCAGAGGGGCAATAGGATAGTACATACAAAGTGAAAGGGGAATGGTTCCTACTCTCAGCTACTGGGAGAAGGGCAATGGGTAGCTCTGAGTATGTGGGGGAAGATGGAAAAATGGAAGGGAGCTGGGCTGGTAGCATACTGGGAAAGGCCTTGAGCGCCAGGATCAAGAATTTTAATTTTACCCTGAGAGCGGTGGAAGCCATCAGAGGAGCATATCTTGTGAATGACCTGATGAGATTTATGTTTTCTAAGGACTTACCCAACCTTAGCCAGTGGTAACAAAGACAGGTTGGTAAGGTATCTTCGTGGTACACCTTGAGACAAAAAATGGAAAGGAGGGGCTGGGGTTGAAGTTCAGTGATACAGTGCATGTCTAGTATGTGTGAGGCACTGGGTTCTATTCTCAGCACTGTATATAAATAAATAAAGAAAATAAAGGTCAATCGATAACTAAAAAAAAAAAAAAAGAATGGAAAGGAGGGCAAAACTAAGAGACAAGTAGCTGCTGGAATAGGAAGAGCCAGGGAGAAAAGAGGATGCTGGGGACACTCCAGGACTGGATGACAGGCTGTTCAGTGCCATGATGCACACAGAGTGGAGCAGGCCTGGGGAAAGCTCAGGACTTCGAGTTTGGAAAATCATCATCCAGGCAGCAGGTAGGTATCTACTGGTCTGGTGCCATGAGGCTACAGAGCATTTAGGGGGCATTCCTGTGTGGTGTTAAAGTTGGGGAGTGAGTTGGGTCTTCTCAGTGAGAAAAAAAGGCTGTACCTATGAACTGCTAATCTTATGTTCTTAGGAACATAAGGCTGCTTAGTAACTAATTGCTTTCTTGGCAGATGGGGGTAGGGTAGTGGGCTTTTTGTTTCTGTCAGAGAGCCAGTTTTGCTTGTTAGATTGATTGTAAGATAGGATGTCAGATACTAAAGGTGCAAACACACATTTCTGTTGTCTTTCCAAGGGTCTTTCTGTCTCAAGTGTTTGTTTGCCTTTTGGGGAACCTTCAGTTTGGGGAGCACTCATCTCAAAAGACCCCATTTGGCTCTAGACTGAGGATTCCTGTCAGAACATTCTATGGTTAGAACTCGAGGGGCGGGTATCTTCTTAGACCTGGAAATCCATTATTGCAGAATTCTCCAGGTTGTGCTGCTTTCCCTCCAGGACCCTGGTTTCTGTGTGATATAGCAGCCTTAGTATCAGATAGGACTTTGGAAAAAAATGACCAAGGGTACAGAGGCCAAGCATGTGGTGTCCCTTCCCCACTCTGTCTCACATGGTAGGGTCATATGAGAAGGGTAGGGAAAAGCTGATATTGCAAAATGAGTCCCTATCTGCCTACCTCTGGCACGTGGGCCCCATTGGGATGGCCACATGTCTTATGAGTTTGTGAGCAGTTATCTTTGTTCCTCATGTTGGGGCGTGTGGCTGTTCAGTCTTAGAGCTTTTGTTCATGGATCATGTGTAAGCAGTGGTAACCTCCCTTCTGCAGCCACCCTGGTGTACTTTTTCAGAGGTGACTGAGAATATACAGCACACCACTTGGACTGTTTCCCATAATCTGAAACTGTGTCTTCCTGATTGTTACACAGTTTTAATGGGGTGCTACACACTCTCAGAAATTGTTTACTGATGGGTGATTCTATTAACAGTAAAAGCCTGTCCACTCTTCTAAGGGTTGTTCATTATCTCGGTCCCACCAAAAGTTCACTTCTGTCCCTTAGGCCTTTTCTTAAATAATTTTGCTCTTTTCTCCTAATCACCCTCTGTGTTTCTTTCCTGGAAGGTATCCTTATAGTCTTTGAATCTTGGAAACCTGTAGACTTTAGAAGGATCAAGATGTGGACATTAACTCCTGCCCTGGTATCTTTACCTGTCTTTCTAGGCTGCCCCACCTTGCTTCCAGCATGAAAGGGAACTGTCCTTAATTGGCAGCCCAGTAAATTCAGACCCTTTGGCTTCTTGAAGCCTGTAAACTCGATTATAGAACTGTCTTTTCACCTAAGCCACAAAAGATGCCCACAGACTTGTGCCTTCCTCCTGAACAGCTCCTGGACTCTGAATTAGATCTGTCTTTTGTGGCTCTGTCCTTTGCCCATGCTGTCTGTGTCACTTCCTGGAGCTAAGTCCTCCTTACCTGTCAAAACCCAGCTAATGCAGGTGTTGGCTCCAGGAAACCTTCCCTGAGCCTTCTTTCCTTGTGGATAGGGACCCAGATAACCTGTGTTGGGCTCCCTGAGAGCTAGAACCGGTACCACCTCTTTGTCCTCCAGCACTTGGGACCTGGCATGCAGGAAGTATATCTTGAATGCCTATTAAAATGATTAAGTTCACACAGTTCCATCTTGGCTAGCTGTCTTGCTGTCTTATTAGGTCTGAAGGTCTTTGTGGAGAACCTGAGCTCCTGGCCTTCAGGGCATACCTGACTCGGGCACCTTGCTGGGAACTCAGACCTGTCAAAATTATGTGCTACCAACTTTTGAATGAGTTCTTTTCCATGTGCCCTGATGGGGGAGTATTTTTCCCTGACTGACTTTTTGGCAGACCCTTAGAGCTCAGAAGATAAAGATGCTGAATTAGCTGAGTCCTGTTCCAGCCCCAGCCCAGCCCCTCCCTTCCTATGGGTAGGTCAGATTAGACCAAGAAATGTGTTCTGCCCAGGAAAGGGACACAGGGAACCTTTTTGGAGTGGCTAACCAAGCTGGAGATTCACCTATTCAGGATCCCACATGTAGCCTAAGACTTGCATTTGAACTTCTA